AAACTGTGTTAAAAATAGTGGAAGAAAAGCCGTAATTAGACTTATTGTTACAATCCATTTATTAAAATGCAACATTTTTTTGTTTTAATGAAAAAATCAGTTATTTTCATGAGAACGATTTGTTATTCCATCTCAATTTTTTTTAATCTCCAATCGCAATAACGTAAAGTATTATTACCCGCGAACCAATGAGTCAAATTTAAGAAACTACCCACTGTTAGAAAGCTGAATGGCTACGCTTTAAAATGAATGTAAACTTTAACGTTTTCGTCTATTATTTGTTTAGCAATTTACATTTCAGTCGAGGATTGCGCTTTTTTGATACACCCTGTATATATATATATATATATATATATATATATATATATATATATATATATATATATATATATATATATATATATATATATATATATATATATATATATATATATATATATATATATATATATATACTGTACTGTCTTGTGTTAGATTGTATCGTTTTGTTTTTTTGTATTGTACTGTATGGTATATACAAATGGCGAAGTTATATAAATCAATATATAAATAAATAAATTTCAAACTGATTAAATATTGTCTAAGCCGAGAAAATCAAAGGTGAAGTTTATGTAAATCCGGACAAATCTTTTCCCATTTACAAACACTGATTAAACATTCAGTTCTTTTGTATTTTTGCCATGAATTAATAATGAGCTTTTTAAGAGTTTTATACACCTGACTCCTGAAATTGTTGGTTTGCGGAAGAAAAGCTGGATAAAGAGTCGTACGAATCAGAGCAAACAATGATATAAGGATCGTGAACAGTGTAGAATTTTTAAGATTCAACTTTCAAATGATGAACTGGATTGAATATTATTCATTTGCGTTCTTTAATTTGATAAAACAAACGTTTAATTTTATGCAATTATTTTATCCAAGGGACGGACCATTAGGTATTTGGGGGGGGGGGGAATTTTTCTGTGCACGAATTTTTTTCATCATTGAGTGAGAGCATTTGTGTCGCCACCTTTTAAGTGATTCCGGAAGGCAAACATGTACAGTTGGCCATTACCAAAAAACATTCGAGAATGCGACTACATTTCTACGCCCATTGCTGCTTAAATGTCAAACTGTTATCAATCTCGTTACCGGAGCATGCCCGATCGCAGGTTAGGGTCTGCGAACGGGCCAATCTCGTACCTAGTGTATGCCCGTTCGCAGGTTGGTGCTGACATCAAGCTGCGAACAGGCTTACTCTGGTGACGGGATTGACTTGTTACTCGAGTCATAGTTTCGGTCTGGTTATATTCATCACATGTAACTAAACTTTTAAACTTAATTCCATCGGAATCAAAATACTAGTCTACATGCGGAAGCCGGGTAGTTCATATTAAAAATATCCATCACATGTATCTATAAAACTATCAAACTTTATAACCATCGGAATCGAAATACTGGTCTACATGCGGTGATGCGGCAGCCGGGCAGTGTGCTCGGCAGTCAGGAAATTTAGTCCTATAAACTGCTAAAGTGTTAAAAATATTCTCTTAAAAAATCAAACCCACTCCACACACAACTCGAACTACTAATCCTAAGACCTAACCCTAAAATCAGACTAAAAAAAAGTTGAAAAAAAAATTGAAAATAAAACTGCGCCGTATGGGGATTTGAACTCGAGAACCATGCTTCGAAAGCGGCGCTAATCCACTACGCCACAAAGTAGCTCGCTCAACTAATGGACCTATTCCCTATTGATCTAGATAAGTCTAGACAAAAATTTCATCACAACTTGAAAGAGCATTACTAAATTAGTAATATTCCAAAGTTTCGTTGCGAAATGTTGTAAAATGAGGACAATATAGCCCTGGGAAGTTTGCCGTTTTTCAGTCATTTTGACTTTTTGTATTACGCGCGTGAAATTGATACCTTTTTTCAGAAAGCGGCATCAATTTCCCGTGCGTAATACAAAATGACTGAAAAACGGCAAACTTTGCAGGGCTATATTATCCGCATTTTAAAACATTTCGCAACGAAACTTCGGAATATTACTAATTTTGTGATGCTCTTTCAAGCTGTGATGAAATTTTTGTCTACACTTGTCTAGGTCAAAATTTTGTTCATTAGGGAATAGGTCCATTGGTAAATATATGAAGTCTTGATCCTTCAGCTCGAGTAAACGCTTAGCAAGCGTCCTGTTATTAGCTAATTTCAGCGCAATTTCCCGCACGCCAATCAGATGTCGCCATTTTCGAATTGTCGATTTCACGACGTTTAGAGGCATTCACACGAAAACCTGCGGTATAGTTAATATTCTGATCAGTCAAATATCAATGGATTAAAACACATGTCACGATTCAATCGCAATTTTATCCCAAGGATAGCATTTCAGACACCCTGCGTTGCAACATATTCAGTAAACACTGATTTTGCATAATTATTGATTGACCAATCAGGATTTGTTCCAAAATCCACATGACCGTTCAAGACTCTTTTAAGCTCTGCCTTCACTGATGTACAAGTCATTTTTAAAGTTTTCATGCAATGATTTTGGTATATCGTCAAAATGGAATTAGTAAATATAAACTCAGGTGTTATCGAGCTGTCGGATGGTTTGGAATTGGACCAAGTTTCAGGTGAAATACGTAAAAAAGTAGCAAAACGTGTTGGTAAATTGGTATTTGACCCAATTTTAGGTCAACTACGTGAAGCAAGTGATCCCCCAAGTCCAGGTATAAACACTTACATTTTTATCTTCTGGGTTTTTGTGTGTTATGCAATTGCATAAGAAATGGAATAAACGTCGATGTTTCGAGTGACGGCGGGCCCGTCGCCTGAAAGTTAGAAACTATACGAACTTCGCTCGAAACTTCAAAGCTTCTTATATTTTCATGTAGTTGCATAATACACAGAAGCCCAGGAATTGTATTGGCACCTTATCTTACACTGGCACCTCATCTGATGCACATTAAGCAAAGCATAGTGAGACTTATTTTTATATACAGGCATTATATGTATTAAACTGTCTGGTTTAACGATTTACTTACTGCAGAGATAGAGTATAATAACAGTCTTTATTCATACTCAAGAACACCCGTCTGTGAGTTTACATTATAAAAATATATAAGATAAAATTATTGATATCTATAAGGTAATAACTAGATATATACAGTTATGGATAAAAATATTAATAATGTTAAAAAGGTAAAGGTTAAAATTGGTTAAACAAAGTTAAACAAACATCGATTTACAAAAGAACTTTTAAATCGCTCTGTTCTCACTAATGGAAGTTCAAACTCGTGTCCCCTTGGCCTAAGGTGTCTATTTAATTTATCTGCATAGTAAAAGCTCCTGTAGTGCATTATCTTTATTATGTATTACTTTATCCCAAAGTTTCTTGTCCCTTTTGATGCTTATCTCCTTAATATTCAATTTTTCCGATATGTAACCATTTCTGTGAGCGCGATTGATGAATTTGTCTATTTGACTAATGTATTTATTGAAGTATGCGCCTCCCCAAAGTTCTATGCCGTAAGTGATTATAGGCATAATTAAAGTGTTTGATTGGGAAGCATGTCCAGTTGTTTGATTGGGAAGCCATAGTATTTACACACACGTATATAACAAGTCTAACATGTGGCCGGGACAAAGTCAAACCGGAATGAAAATTGAAATTGTCAACATTTTTACACGAGAGCGGTACAAAAATCGCAAAATTTCCTATTTACTCCCCTTGCCAAGATGGCTTTTGTTAGTCCAATGTCAAGGTTACAGCCGAGATCGGTTTGAAATGTATTTGTGTTTACATTCATCCCAGTCTGAATTCATGCCAGTCTGAAGTCGGTCGAGCAGGCGGAATGACTTGAGACCGATCTGAGTTATTTTCTTCCCGGTCTCATGTAAACATCTATTACTAAATCCTATGGCCGAAATGAAATGGTCCCGGTTTTACTTCGTTCCGGTTTCATGTTAACGGGGCCTATAAGATTAAAAGCCCATACAGACCGAACGCGATTCGATCGACAACGCGACGCGAATTTCAGTTTTTAAAACCAAATAAAACCGTCAACGGATAAAAAATTTACAAGATATGCAGACCAAATAGGTAAAATTGCTTAAGTGGTTCCGAATGTTTGAAAAACATTGAAAAATAGTAAAGTTAAGTGTCATTGAAAATTGATGATTCGCGTCGCGTTGCCGAATCGCGTCCGGTTTGTATGGGCCTTGACAACAACACTGTTCAACAGACCACAAACCCTTATAATTTTATCATAAATACACTGATCCATAATTCATTATTATGGAATTATTATAACACATTTTCCAGGGACTAATGTTTGAATGTTTTCAAGTTTCCAACCATCAAACCTATTAGGTAGTGTAAGTCCCTTTTGAAGTCTTTGTAAAATATCTGACTTGATGAATATTCGCTGATGATCGCTTTTAAAGTTTGTGCCACATGCAGTTATCTATATTCTGTGGTCTATATACGCAAGCAATCGCTCTCGCCAAAATCTATAATGAATACAAACGTGAGGTATCATGCATATAGAAATGTATGAGAAATCTTTTTTATTATTAGTAGTGAGTGAGATACTGAAACATACACATGCAGTGAGATATTTTCCATATCTTCACTAGCGAAAATATCGATCACGTGACTTTTAGTATTTATACAATTTTTTATACGGTGGCTTGAAGATATGACTTTATCTTCTCGTGTTAAAAACTTAAAAACAATATTTTACTCACTATTTGATCGCTGCGCTCGTTCGTAAAATATTGTTTTCACCACTCGAAGATAAAAGTCATATATTCGCGCCGCCGTGCATGTAATATCCTCTATGTATTTGACCTGCCAGTAAGTAAGTTTGTATATATGTTTAGATCTAGATTCACTAATATGGTTCCCGTCGGCACGCGAAGGGTTTTCTGGTGCTAACTTTGTTGCATCGTCAGCGATGGACAAGATTACGATCAAGCCTAAATTATGGTTTAAACGAGATGTCATTGTCAAAACCATGCATATCTCGTGCAAATCTGACACGTATAAAAAAGCTCACAGCTATGCTGGAGTAATTATTTACCAATACAACGGCAAGTCGGAATGGAGAACGGCCAACAATACTCACTGTAAGTCTGGCTATATCGTCATTCAAGACACAGAATCAGAAAATGTTAAGCGATGGAGAAATGACCCTGTTATATGCGGTGCAGTTCACGGAGCTGTTTATAAAAATGCCTTCGGTGAATCTAAGAAGAAGAGCGTCGTTGGCGAAGGTTTTGCAATACAAAACGGAGAGATTAAATTTAATTCAGGCGTCTTTAACAACCCACAGGGCAGTGCATTCCATGATGATCGCAGATGGATGAATAAATTGTCAGAGCATTGCATAAGAAAGATAGTCGAAGAGGAATGGATGACTGCAGGTTCGTCTGGGGTCAAACAGAGAAATTTCGATGTGAAACAACTGCTCTGCGATTTTGATATTGCAAACAACCCCACTTTGCAGGTGGATGAAGATAACTATACGCGATCTTGTAATATATTGTGATCATTCTTTTGCTAAAAATTACGGTCACCATAGAGAATTTTAACGTAAATTTTTAACACTAATTCTATATATACTGTACGATTCAACAATTTATTTACAGTCATCTTCAGGAGAATACATGAATGCGGCGTTTATTGGTCTTATTAACCAGATGACATAAGGGAAGCCTCACATATCGATTTTTTTCCACGAGAAACGTCATATGTTCGTTTGGGGGGTGGCAGCTGTGACGTTTCTCTGTAAACATCATGGAAAAATTCGATAGTTTTTATCTTTGCAGAATATAAAAAAGAAAACAATTTGATACAAACACTAGTCTATACATTCGTAATACCATACCTTTTCTATACCTATACATTTATATTATTACGCCTTCCTTGCATTGAAAACACTCAAATTTCAAGAAAAACGCGCTAAAATTATCCTGAATATTTCATGCAAAAAAGTTGTTTTGAGAAACGTTGGAAATTTTTAAGTTCATATAATTATTACAGAATATCGATAACTATGTGTGACGTTTCTAAGCGGGGGTGGGGGGGAGGTCTCCAGAGAAACGAACATATGACGTTTCTCGTGGACAGAATCGATATGTGAGGCTTCCCTAAGTAAACAGTTTTAACTTGCTATTTATTAGTTGCTAATTTATTGCTATATCACATGGTGTTATACATTAACAAAGGTGCTTACTATAGAGTTAAGGCAGTTGTGAATATCTAACTCACAACTGCCTAAACTCTATAGTAAGCGCTTTTTTAATGTATAACACCATTTATAACACCTTTGCAACTCTCACGAAGACGCCGGCAATCGTCTAGATTGGCGTCTTCGTGAGAGTTGAAAAGGCCACGATATTTCAATGATTTTGTAAACTAGCCTTTATACTAATAAAATGATGTCGCTCAAACTCAGAGCGTTTAGTATTTTATACCACTTGGTATTAGACAAAATACCCACAGAAACATGATGCTGTTTTGGGTTCCTATATACCCCCCTCTCTTTTTTAGAATATTTCATTTTTGTTGTGTACAAATGTAGATAAATGAACAACAGTTCGACGCCGTTTTATCACAGAGGTTTTATCAGGTATACTGCAGCGTCTGCAGTCAGCAACACACAGCTGCGATGTACACTTGCTCGTATGTATGGGGCTTCTCGTGCATACGTTCACCAAGTCTTCCTTGACAAGTTTTCCTTGACAAGTTTTCCTTGAAATGTTTTGTTGCACGTAGGTACCGGAATGCCGTTTAACATTTATCTCACGTCAAGCTAGACCGCCTTTTGTTTACCAAACCAATGTATAGAAATATTTCTTGTACAAGATTTCCTTGGCGGCCGTACACACGAGCAAATTTTCCTTGTCCAAAAGCTGACATGACTAGCTTTGGAACAGGCTCCTAGGCAAAGAAAAAACGTCAGGTATAGTCGACATATGTCACAAATACTATAAAAATATCTGACACAAATTCACTGTAAGTTTACATTAATTTGGTATAATTAGTGATTGGCCAATCAGGAGTCGTTCCAAAATTCACGTGACCATTCACGCAACAAACGTGTAAGCTCTGATTCGCAAGCTCGCGCTTCTACATGCAGTCTGCACGCCAGCTATCACAATCAGGATAAATTAGTGACTACAAACGCGAGGCGATATGAATGAGCCAGAGTTTGAAATTGATTCAACGACAGGTGAACTAAAATTGAAGAAACGTAAGATTGATGACACGCAACGTAGCTTTGCAAAGCATTTGAAAAAAACGTTTAAGGGAAAGCCTCAAAAAATTTACGTTGAAACCATGCACATTTCCTGCCAATCTGACACGTATCAACCAGGCCACAACTATGGCGGAGTGATTATTTATCAATACGACGGCAAGTCAGACTGGAAAACTGCCAACAACACTCACTGTAAGACTGGCTATATCGTCGTTCAAGACGCAGACTCGGATAACGTACAGACATGGATAAGTGAAGAGTCTGGTGTAGTTCAAAGAGCTGTCTATAGAAACGCTTTCGGAGAATCTGCGAAGGACGTCGAAGTCGTTGGCGAAAGTTTTGCAATACTATACGGACAGTTTGAAAAGAATTCACACATCTTTAACAACCCACACGGCAGTGCATTTCATGAAGATCGCAGAGAGATGGATAAATTGTCGGAGCATTGCGTCAGAAAGATAGTGGAATACTGGAAAAGAGTAGGCTCTTCCCGGGTAGAACAGAGAAATTTTGAAGTGAAGGAATTGCTCCAAGATTTTGATCAGTAGACATAATAATTTCTATACTATTAACTTCATTGAACAGTGAACTTTATGCCTAACCTAATTTGCATACAATGTATTAAGCCTATACATGTATATATATATATATATATATATATATATATATATATATATATATATATATATATATATATATATATATATATATATATATATATATATATATATATATATATATATATATATATATATATATAT